CCAGCCAGACGAAGCTTGGGGGCTTTTCCCAAGGAGGGGGGGTGGGTCTCACCGTCTCGGAGGAAGGTGTCGGCAAAGTAGAGGCACCGCACCACCCCTGAGAGCGAGTCGTCAGCTGAGCGGGGCTCGATCCGCCGCTGCACGGGCGTCATCTCCACTTCGGGGGGTCCTACTTGCTCAGCCAGCTGCGCGTTAGCCTCCTGCACCTGGGGAGGGGGGACACGGGGGTCAGCCCCTGCTTGGTGGGGACAAGGAGCAGCCATGGTGACTCCCTCTCATTGCCCACCTTGCTGGAGGGGCTACTGGCATTGAGCCTCTTCTTGCCTGACACCCGGCTCTTGCGGATGCGGCGGAAGGACTGTCGCAGGGACTTCTTCAGGGACTTCACGCGGGACAGGGGCCCCTCCATGGCCAGCGAGTCATTGGGGTGCAGTGTACACCTGTGGGCACCGATGACGCTCAGCACCTGGACTCCCACCATGTCGCTCTGGGAGGGATGGGGGGTCCCCAGCACCAAGATTCCTCCCCCATACCTGGCCAGCACGGGGTTGCGCCGGTAATAGTCGAAGAGCCCGAAGCCATGGCTGGTGCCAAAAGCCACGAGGTTCCATTCGGAGTGGAGGGTGACGGCGGTGACAGCGGCGGGGGGCACGCACTGCACTAGCACGCTGGGCTGGAAGCCAGGGGCGAAGGGCAGGGGCCCGTTCCTGGGCGCCAGCCGGTCGTGGCCCTTCCAGGTGAAGCCCTCGCGGTCCTGCAGCAGGTCCACCGTGGCCACACTGACCGCATGCTCCGACTTCTCATCGCTCAGCTCCATCACCAGCACCTGCAGGGGACAAGCACGGATGGTGGGGGACATGTGCCAGCCTCACCACAGAACAGCCACCCTGCTGCAAGCCCGGGGCTAAACCCTGCGGGTAGGAGCCCTTCACGGACAGGCACGAGGGTCTGCAGGGTCTGTAGCCCCCAACCCATGCTGTGTTTCCCCAAAGCAGGAGCTGAGAGGTGCTCAGCAGCCCCCTCTTTGCCCCCCACCACCCTACCTGCCCTGCCGTGCCAGCCACCACCATTTTGGCCGTGTACTTGCAGAGAGCGATCTTCTGCACGCCCAGGCGTGGGTCGTCGCTGTAGGGATCAAAGCAGCCCACCTGCAGGAGGGAGAGAGGGATATGGAGGGCCAGGTGCCTTCATACAGCTGTGGGGCAGCCCCCCTGCTGCACCCCCATGTCCCCCCACCAGCTGGTAGGTACCAACTGTGGCACATGGGCTGCTCCGGGCATCATGCCCGGGGAAAGGTCTGTCCCCACGTGTCCTGCAGCTGCCCCCCCGCCCAGCACCAGGGCAGGCCCGTGAGACGGGGCAGGCGGAACAAGCGTCCCTTGTGTCCCCACGGGGCGTCACACGGCAGCTGTGCCCCGAGCCGGGGGGACACATCCCTCGGGGCGCAGCCGGGATGGCTCCAGCTGCTGCATCCTCCGTGCCCGCCTCTGGACTTGGCCCCCCCCCGCCCCCAACCCGGTGTCAGCGCAGGAAGGGGGGTTCTGGGGTCCGCAGCAGTGTCTCCCCCCTCCCAGATCTCACCTTGCGGAAAGGCGGCCACTCCTCCTCGCCCGCCTGGTTGAGGCTGTCGTTATGCTCACAGTCTGTCTGGAAGATGCTGGCGGTGCCCAGCTTGTAGAGGGGTTTCAGGGAGACCCCTGAGGCGTCCCAGAACCGCACCGTGCCATCCTCGTGCCTGGCAGGGGGAAGGACAACGGGGAGGCCCTGTTAGTGTGGGGCCCTGACATCTGCCCGGTTAACAAGAGCTGCCTGTGTGCTGGCAGCCACTGTGCCAGAAGAGGCGGGAGACAAGGGGGGACAACGCAGCGGGTGACACGCTCTTGCCCAGCCATCAAGTTGAATGAGAGTGGGGCAGCCCACTCAACAAGAGATGCCCCCACCCCCATCCCATCCCACTCCCCCACCGCAGGAAGGGGTTGAGGCGCTCTGTGTGTGTCCCACCAGCATATTTTGGGTTTCCCAGGCCTCCCCCTCCCCGCTGCCAGGCCACTCACCCAGTGAGGAGAAGCCCCCTCTGCGTGGGCTCCTGGGCCAGGTTTTTTCCCCCATCGATGGGCCAAGCCTGGAGAGAGGGAAGGAGGGATGGAGGGAGCCCACCCCACAGGGAGCAGGAGCATCCCCCATCAGCCCATTTGGGGAGTTTGGGGACACCCCCATCACTCACAGCAGAGGAGAGCCGGGGGCTCTGCTGCTCGCCAGCACTGACAATCCTCTCCCAGAGCTTGAGGGGCACGTTGGAGACGTGGCAGGAGCAAGTGATGGCGGAAGAGTGGAGTGGCGCCAGGTAGGGGGCGGGGATGGTGGGCCAGCCCGGCGTCTGGAGGTCGATGGCCACCAGCTCTTCCTCCACCAGCACCACGAGGGCATGGGGGTTCTCAAAGCCTGGGGAGGGTGGCAATGGGGGACATAGCTGCTGCTAACAGAGAAACACCCCCTCACCACCATGAGCTCCCCAGGGCCACCCTGGTGGGACATACCTCCCTCGGTTGCCTCAGAGCTCTGCACGGTGAAGAAGTCGATGACGCGGGAGGTGAAGTCAAGCGTGGCCAAGGTCTGGCCCTGCAGCACGCTAACGCAGTGCCGGTCGCCGTAGCTGGCCCGCGGCATCCCCCCGTTGAAGATGATGAAGGGGTTCCTGAGTAGGATGAAGAAGCCTCCATCAATGCCCAGGCCCTGCAGGGCACCCTCCCTACAGCCCAGGTCCCCACGCTGTGCCCATCACCAGCCCACCCCAGCTACTGGTGGAGGGGGCTTTGGGGGTACAGGCCAGAGCTTTCCCCGCAGTGCCGCAGGGACATACCCCGAGTCACAGGTCCGCCAGAGGATTTTGCTGATGGCTTTGCAAGGGAACGGACCTGAAAGGAAGATGTTAACTTCCCAGGTTGCAGCACTGGGACAGGGTGATCAGCCCCCAACCCTGTGACCGCCTCCCCCACCTCCCCGTACCGTAGGGGATGGTGGACATGACAGGCTGCTGGGTCCTCTGGCCGGCGCCGCTCACCGCCCACACCATGTACCCACCATCGCTGTGGGAGCTGACGATGCTCTTCCCGCTCTGCTCCCAGGCCAGGCTCTCCAGCTGCTGTGGGGGCAACACGGAGCAGGGTGAGGGGCTCAACACCCAGGATGGGAGGGGAAGGGGGTGACACATGAGGCTGCAGCCCCCCCCGCCACCCCTGGTACCTGGTTCCCCAGGAAGAGGTGCTGGACCACACGTGTGTTCTGCTCCCAAAGAACCACCAACCCTCGGCTGTAGCCGATGAGGAGGCGGCCGCCATCCCGCGGGTGCTCCTGGATGGATTCCACTGGCCCCAGCGCCTTCCCGCAGCGGTACTCATCAGGGACGCTGTGTGGGACACACACACACACAGGGGGGTCAGCAGGGGTTTGGGGTGGTGGGGAGG